GGCAGTGTCACTGGCCCTCATATGTGGGATCCGAACCGGGGCCCTCTGGCGTCCCAAGCCAGCTCTTAACCATCGCGCCACTCGGCCGGCCCAAAAGTTTTGATTTGAAGAGAGTAATGAGTGTTTCATTTAATATAATAATTGATACTTGGGGTACGAATGCAGTTTTAAATTTTTATCTATATTAAACTTTCTATTAATTTTAAAGTGTAATTTTACATTATAATTATAATTTTATATTATAATTGACCCTTTTCTTAAGGTGCCTACTCATAGTTGTCAATTTTTACATAGAAATTTCACCACTCATTGGAAAGTTAATCATAATGTCATTTAATATCCTCAAACCCTACCTTTACAATATAAAGACATTATAACAGTAATCTATTAATCATATCCCACCTTTCTGATTGGTAATATGTTCTTTGAGAATTTGAAGAGATATGCACAGGTCATAAGTGCACAGGTGAATGAAAGGTCACAGGGTGAACATTTTTCTGTACCCAGTAATGAGGCAGGCAAAGAGTTAACAGGAGAGAGCTTGTGAGCTGGCAGGAATGAGATAAACATTAGCCACTTGGCTCTGACACCCCTGGCTAGCACTGCACCTGTAAGCTGACCGGCACCTTACATCCATCATAGGTAAGAACAGCACATTTCCCAATCACAACAGTGACCCCCTAAAAGCTGACATTCATCATAGATGGGAACAGGACAGTACCCAAGAGAAGACAACTGTAATGGCAGCCTCCCTGCAAGTTGGCAAGCACGCTACATCCTGCTTGGAAAAATATAAAACTCAAGCTAAACAGAAATCTGGCACAGCTGTCCCTATCAGGCACTGCCCTGGCACAACTCTGTTTGCCAGCGCTTCTCTTACCTCTCTGTCTCGTGATCTCCTTCTATCAGACAACTGGCAAAACTCTTCTTGCCAGTTCCAAACAGAACTCTCTCTCTCTCTCTTTTTGACTTTCAATAAATCTTTTCTTACTCTTGTAGAGTCTCGTAAATCCTTTTTGCATTCTGCAAACGACCAGGGGTTAATTCTACACCAAGACACTCAACACCCAGATCAACAAATAGAATATCGTCAGGACCCCAGTGCCCCCTGTGCTCCCATCCCGTCTCTCCTCCTCAGGGAAAGCATGGCTCTGACATCTAACAGTGCAGGTCACTGTAGCCTGTTTTGCACTATATATACAGGAAAACATAGACCATTACCCCTGTGTTTGCATTGTCTGTCATTCCTTATGGTGTTTCTGAATTTACTGCAGCCTGTTTTTATTGATCATTCAGTTGAGCTGCTGTACAAAATTCTACTGGGTGAATATAAGTCATTTTAATCATTCCTCTGTTCATTGGCACATGGGTTGTTCTTAGTGTGGACTGTTAGAATTAATCCTGGTATGTAAATATAAAACATGTTTCGATGACACACCTACACATTTATGTTGACAATCGTGATAATGGTATTGGTGGGGTTCAGCTCCAGGAGATAGTGCCAGAGAGGTTTGGAAAACATTTTTAGCACAGGAAGTTCAGGTATTTGTGCACAGGCTACCAGGCCAAGTTTCCTTCAGTAGTGGCTGGACCCATGGGCTCCAGCTTGCTACGAGGCTGATGGCGCTTGAAAGCCACAAGCTTGGTTTCCAGCCAATACTCGGACCTGTGCTCAGGCACTAGCGAGTCTCCATCCCTCACACAACCAGACTGTGCACCTGAGAATCCCTCCCAAAGCACCTGTTGTACTAGAAGATGTCCCCTCCCATGTCCCTCCTAGCCACTCCCACACACAGTAGGCAGCTCCAACCTAGTCCCTCAGCCAACCTGTGCCTCTGGAACCTTCACCACAATGCTTTTATACTACGCTCACAGACCTGAGCTGAGCCTTCAGCCCTACCTGGAACCATAATCCGTAGCACAAATTAGTCTT